GCTCATAGTTTTGGTCTTCTTATTCTTAATTAAGTCCTTTTAACATTTCATGGATTGAAATTATGGAATAACAATTATGGATTGGTGATGATAAATTCCTTTTGCTTTACCTTTTCTGGGAAACACTTTTTCTGCCCTTCCATTCTAAATAACAGCTTTGTTGAATAGAGTAATCTTGGTTATAGGTCCTTGCTTTTCATCACTTTGAATCTTGCTTGCCAGTCCCTTCTTGTCTGCAATGTTTCTTTTGAGAAATCAGCTGATCGTCTTATGGGAACTCCTTTGTTGGTAACTCTCTTCTTTTCTCTTGCTGCTTTTAAGAACTCTCCTTGTCTTTAATCTTGAGTAATTTAATTATGATGTGTCTTGGTTTGGATCTCTTTGGATCCAACTTTTTGGGAACCCTCTGAGCTTTCTGGACTTGTAAGTCTATTTTCTTTGTTAGCCTGGAGAAGTTTTCTCTCATTATTTTCTCAAAAAGTTTTCAATTTCTTACTCTTTCTTTTCTCATTCTGGTACCCCTATGATTCAGATGGTGGCATTTCTAAAGTTGTCTCAGAGGTTCCTAAGCCTCTTCTCATTTTTTTTGAATTCTTGTTTCTTCATTCTCTTCTGGTTGAATATTTCTTTCTTTCTTTGTTGCAAATCATTGACTTAAGTTCTAGTTTCCTTCTTTTCATGTTGGTTCCATGTATATTTGTCTATATTTCACTTTTTATAAGCTTTACCTCTTCCTCTGTTTTGTAGCCATACTCAATCATTTCTGTGAGCATCATGATACCAGTGTTTTGAACTCTGCATCTGATAGGTTGGCTATCTCTTTGTCACTTAGGTTGTTTTGTGGAGTTTTGATCTGTTCTTTCATTTGGGCCATATTTCTTTGTCCAGGCTCACCTGTTACATTGTAAGGGCTGGGGCCTTAGGTATTTGCCAGGGCAGGGCGGCCCATAGCTGTGTTGTCATGCTGTATGTGAGGAAGGTGTCAGAAAGGGAACAATACCATTTGCTTGGCTCTTGCTCCACATTCAGGCACTTTCCCTGCTACCCACAAGGGAATGTGCCCTTTTGGTGCTGATTCCTGGGTAGGTGGGCTTGTGTACATTCCCACACCCCATGGGTCCCTCCAGTCCCTCCAGTGGACTCCCTCTGAGATGGCAGCTTCTCCCACCATGAAACCCCCACAGGTTTTTGCAGCCAGAGATTTTGAAACTTTCTTTTCACATTCTTTCTTGCTCCCCAGTTGTAATTCCTTATTTAATCACATGTGAATGCGGCAACACCCTGTCTGCCAGCTGATGCTTTGCCTGCCTGGTCATCCAGCCACTGTTCTGCCATGAGGCCTCTCTACTCTGGCTGCCCATCTCTGCTCCTCCAACCAGTCTGGATGAATGTTTCTTCTTTAACTCCTTGGTTGTTGGACTTCCATACAGTTAGATACTTTGGAAGTTCTAGTTGTTTTTTGTTTTTAAGTTAGTCATTATCTTTCTTTTGGTTGTGTGAGGAAGCAAAATGTATCTACCTATCCCTCCATCTTGGCCAGAATCCAATGTCTTGTAGCTGAAAATAAGAAGTCATTAAATACCCATCAGTTATAAAATGGACAAATAAATTGTGGCCTAGAATATAATACAAAAGTGAAAATGAACAAATTACATCTATAATTTTGTTAACTCCTTCATAAAGAATAAAGGACAGACATAGAAAAGTTAATTTGTTAAAGCAAAATTATATATTTAGTGTAATGTTTGTATATATGTTGTGTTACCTTGACTGTTATAATAAAATAACCTAGATTAATCACAGTACCTGGGCATGTAAACAAGCAAAGAAGAGAATTTTGCTTGTTAACGATGCTATTAAAATATGAAAGAAATTTTATATATTGTATTTTTATCTTTGGTACCTCAGTACTAGTAGTTAATTCGTCCCAACGAGTGGCGAGCAAGCAATAATTGATGAAGCATTTTCACTTGCTGGGTGGCTATCTTAGTTATACAAGTTCTAGCAAGTGCAAAGAGTGACAAGCAAGCACATAGTGTTGAAATTTTGTTCTTGTCAAAACACTACGGATACCAGGTTTGACAAATTCTGATGCTGATGAGTACCGAGGTATGACTGTAGAGAGGTATGTGCATGTCCATATGAAAGTACTATTAAGCATAGTACTATTTGCTTGAATTCATTTTTTGCCATAACTTTTAGAATGTAGTAAAAACTAGGAAATAAATTTTCAGAAGTATTTTTTTCTAAGTTACTATTGATGACATTTTAGGTGAAATTGTTCTTTCAAGCTAGCCCTGAAGTCGAGAATGATGTTAAATATCATAAGGTCATGGGGAAGGTCAGAAGAGTTTTTATATCCCGGTGAACACTGCCACTTAGAAGGCTGAATGAAGGCACAAGATTAGTTAGAAATCTCCAGTTTAGCTGTCGTCGTTGTCATCATCATCATCATCATCATCATCATCATCATGTGTGTCTTTCAATAATTTATATTTCAAACATTCATGAGCTGGACAATGTCTAAATATTTTCTTAAAGATCATTGTGCGTAACTTACCTTAGCAAACAGCAAAGTGTAAGTCCATATGAATACCTTTAGAAATGGAGTGGGTTTTTTTTTTGTATTCCAATGTATTACTGGGTCAAATTATTTAAGGATGACCTTCAAATTATAGAATTGAGATACAGAGCACCATTTCCAAACATCAGAATGAGAGAAGATGTAAAAGAACTATGGAAAAAATAAGTCATGGACTTAGGTGATGTCCCTGTGATTGATGTATCTGTATTTTGTTTATCTGAATATACTTTGAGATCAAGTTCTGCTCCTTCTCTTTCCCTTTAATGAGAGCTTGTGGTAATGACCCAGCAATAGACAGGCTGTCATCCAAGAAAAGCTCATCATGTCATATACATGACTAGTTTCTTTCAACATAGTGGACTGTGACTAGGCCATGATTGATTCTGTTCTGTGACCAAGTTTGAGAAAATAAGGGCATTGTAACCACTTTGTTCTCAGCACTAATAAAAATGCAAAGGCTTTCTTTAAGAGGTTGGCACCATGAGTATTTTATTCAGTTTTCCCATAGAAGATAATTTATAGAGGAACAGAAGATTGTTTCTAATGTGAATCATGGCACATGGTAATACAAAAAGGCCATCTAAGGGAGGGGTGTTCAATTTCTTCTTGGTAGTCAAGATAGTTATGCCCCCCAGCAGAGTATCTTCCTTCTTTACCTGTTAATTTAGAGAATAAGTAGTCCCTAGTGACTACGGGTGGCCATAAATTCCAGTTCAGCGGAATTATTGCTGTGTCTCCTGATAGAAGTGTTCCTCTCATTGTACTACGACCTGCATGTCTGCAGAACATAATGTCGTGGGAAGAGGACACAAATTTTGATGTTGGGTTACTAGGGGTAATAGCGAGTGGTGACACTCCCATTTCAAGCCCCTGTTCTCCTGGCTGCTGGAGAAGCAGCATCATTACTGGATGCTGATTCCAAGCATATGGAACCTTCTGGAGGGCCTTGCCCAGCACTGCAAGATATTGCTGCCTAACTGGCACTGTGGCTGAGTTTTCAGGGCCACTCTACTGAATTGTTTTCCCATTGTTTTAGTTCCTTGGTTGAAAATGAACAGACCACACATGTGTGGGTCTATTATTAAACATTCTGTTCCATCCATTAATCTATTTGTATAAGCATGAACAATATCATATTGAGTTAATTACTATAGCTCTACATTTTTGAAATCAGATATTTATATCACAGAACAAATGTTTTCACTTTTTATGTAGTTCAACTTATTGTTTTAAATTTTATTCATTATACTTTGGTTGTTATTTTTAATAGTTGAACTAACCAGAGTTTACAAAACAGTTCTCTTATGTTTTACTATAGAAGTTTTATTGGCTTATTTCTTCCATTTAGATGTCTGATCAATTTTATATTAATTTTTGTACATGGTATAAGGGGCTAAATTGAACTTTAGGTGTGTGGATATTCATTTTTCCCAGCATCATTTGTTTTAAAAAAAAGGACATCATTTCCCCTTTGAATTGACTTGGTACCTTTTTAATAGTCATCTGACCATGGTGATGAGTATATATTTGAACTTTGATCGTGTTTTCTTGGTATATATCAATAATTTTCAACCTGTAAGGTGCAAGAATATTTAAAACTGTAATACCTGACATTTTATTCAATACCTCTTTCACCTTATATTGTTAAATACAGACAACATATTAGCTTGTCCAATGTGAACGAATGAAAAAAAGTGTATATTTCATTGTGGTGCAGAATTTTAGAAATTAGTTTATATGTTCCATGAGATAAAAAATGCTGACAATCGCTAATATATATGTCTACTGTTGTTCAAGTAGTATACTCTTTTAATTAAAGAGCTTTATGGCAAGATTTAAAATTAGGAACTGCATTTCTTTAACTTTGTTCCTTTAAAAAATTCTTTTGACTATTGGGAGTACTTTGCATTTCTATAAACATTTTAGAAATAGTTTAACTTTCTACAATGTAGTCTTCTTATACTAATAATGATGGCATAAAATATATATCATATACATGATATATATTATATAGATGATATATATTATATAGATTTTTTTATATATAACACCTGTTCATGTAAAGACCCCCTTTTTACCTGGAATAATATAAACACTGAATCAATATAATCCAAGGATAATGGTTGATTTTAACATTTACTAATCTTAATATATTAAGTAGTCAGAAATGGGTTGAACAGAGGTAATTAAACTGAATTTTCATATACAGAGAAGTCCAGACTCTCCAAGGGAAATCTTGTGTACATTTTTTTAAGATAAATTTCGTCTTTTAAAATTATTTTATTTATTTGTATTTAGAGAGGTGAAGGGAAAGGGACAGAGAGAAACATCAATGTGTGAGAGCAAAACAGTTGCCTCTCACATGCCCCCAACCAGGGGACAAGGCCTGCATCCCAGCCATGTACTGTGACCTTGAATGGCGTCAGCAACCACTCAGTTTGCAGGTCAGCACTCAACTCACTGAAATACACCAGCAACAGCTGGAAACTACATGTATTTTTGAAGATTCCTAGGAATATTTATAAGATTTCAGAACACTTTAATAAAATAATAAATATTTAAAAATTAAATAAACTCAAAAGAGAAACTTCATCAAAGTCCTAACACGAGAGATATTTTTGATATCTATTAATAATGAAATAATGAAATAAAAGATGGACTTAAGACAAGATAACCTTTTACACGTATTTTCCATTTTGATACTTATGGGACAATAATTCCTTCCATCCATAAGATGTGTGTGTATATGTGTTTGTGTGCTATGTCTTTACAAACAATAAAATTATGCTTCAATGTTAGTTTTCAGGAATCAGATGTTAGTGAGCATTGGCCTTGCTGAGCTACTCAAGAAAAACTTGATCCTTTAATAGGAAAAGCTTTCTCATAAATCTGACATGAAAATAAAAAACAAAAATGGGGATAAATGGTGATGGAAGGAGACTTGATTTTGGGTATGAACACACAATACAATATGTAGATGGAAATTATAGAACTATACACTTGAACCCAATATAATTCTAGTAATAAGTATCATCCCAATACAATAAGTAAAAATTTAGAAAATCCTTAGTGATGATGATCCTATTGATGACTAAGCTGTGTTGAACAATTTAACATTTATTGTATATTCAGTGTATTGGGATGTTAAAGTTCACTAAGGACAAAGTTGATGAACACAAATTATGGAGAGGTTAAAAAAGAAAATTGAAAAATGATGAAAGAGATTCTGTATATATTTCCATGATAGCAAATGAGATTCAACTTTCAAAACAACCTCAGTTATGAAATGTTCCAGCCTACATGAAAAGCATACAATATTTGAATAGGAGTTAACTTGAGCTGTTGGGGCATAACAATGTTTTTCATAAAAACAAAACAAAACACTGAGCTCTTTTATTACCATACTTTGGTGCTTTCATGCTTGACATTGGACATAGATTTAAAAAAATACAAGTATTTTATATATATTCAAGATCAGCTTCATATAGAACCTAAGATCAAAATATTAAAGGAATCACAGTCAGTGATCTCATATTTGGCCATGTTTTTCTAGACAGGTTAAGTTTATTACTGAGCATTTTTTCTATCCTAGTGATAGCAGAATTTGTTCTAGGAAATTTTGCCAATGTCTTCATAGCCCTGGTGAACTGCGCTGACTGGGTCAAGAAACAAAAGATCTCCTGCACAGATGGAATTCTCACTGCCCTGGCGGTCTCCAGGATTGGTTTGCTCTGGGCAATAACATTAAATTGGTATGCAACTTTTATTAATCCAAATTTCTATTGTGCAGAAGTAAGAACTATTGTCTATTCTGCCTGGGTAGTAAGCAACCATTTTAGCCTCTGGCTTGATGCTAGCCTCAGTATACTCTATTTGCTCAAGATAGCCAATTTCTCCGGTCTATTTTTTCTTCACTTAAAATGGAAAGCTAAAAGAGTGGTTCTCATGATACTGTTGGGCACTGTGGTCTTCTTGGTTTTTCATCTTGCAGTGGTCAGCTTAGAGGTAAAAATGGGGATGAATGAATATGAAGGAAACAACACCTGGGTGACCAACTTGAGGGACATTGTTAACCTCTCAAGTAATACTGTATTCACGATTGTACATGTCATACCATTTACCGTGTCCCTGACAGCATTACTGCTGTTACTCCTTTCCCTGGGGAAACATCTCAGGAAGATGCAGCTCAGTGGCAAACGATGCCAAGTTGCCAGCACCGAGGTCCACGTAAGAGCCATGCAAACTGTGGTCTCCTTTCTCTTGCTATTTTTTATTTACTTGCTCACTCAGATGGTCTCAAAGTGGAATACTAATTCTCTGCAGAACAATTTAGGTGGCATGATTTTTCAGGTCCTTGGTCTCTTGTATTCTTCAAGTCACTCATTTATCCTGATTTGGGGGAATAAGAAGCCAAGACAGGCCATTCTGTCATTTCTGTGGCAGCTGAGATCCTGGCTGAAGGGAAGGAAGTAAGTAGGGAACCATGTGTCTTCTGGCAGAAAGCAAACCGATGGAGTCTGCAACATTTTGTACTTCCTACTACATTTCTTAATGTGTGCAAAATGGGGTAAGGAATATCTGAAACAACTTTTACTTCAGCTTAGCACAAAAATATATTTGTGTGTGTTTGTGAAAAATAGAAAAAAGATTATAAAATTAGAAAATTACCTTTTTATGTGTTATCTAATTTTACAAAATAATGTAAAAAATTCCTCATAATTATGAAACCATGTCTATTTCATATTTATATTCTATATTTTGATCTTGCCATTTAAGAATTTATGATCTTTGTGTATAAAGACTGAAAACTCATTTCAAGAATCATTCCTATTTTCTATTGTAATAAGTACAACATAAGTACCAGAGTGTATTCAGATCATTTGTTTGAACCTCCAGTGTTTTGGATGGTAAGAATATTCATTCTAAATCTCACAATGACAGTGATTATTTGGGATAGATATTATTCCATTGTTTCATACTTCATAGTTAACAACAATCAGAACTAAAAAAAAATGTACATACTGGAATTAAGGAGTGATAAAGATAGAACATATTCAAACACGTGTGCAATGAACATTATTAGATTATTAAGTTTAATAGACATAACTGAAAGCTTAGAAAAAATCAAATTCTAAAATAGGGATGAAGAAGGCAGCAAAATGATTGTAACTTTATTTAATGCTGTTAAAGTTCCATGTGTAATTAGGAAGGTGATTTCTTACAGTTTTTCAGTTTGGGGAACTTTTCTGAAGTTCAACACTGATTCAATTTATTTTTTTACCACTAACCAAATGCGGGCTTTGGAATTGCCAGTCATCTTCTCCATCTTGTAACCTAAAAATTTCTTTTTAATTTTAGACAGGAAAAATCAAATCTTCCCTATCTTAAAAATATGCCTGATATAAGAATAGTAAAAATTATGATATGTAAGTCAATGGCCTTCCTGAATATGAAAACTTAACCTATGGTTAAGTTAAGACATAAAAACTATAAAAATGTCTTCAGAATCTGTTTTTATTAAAATCTTGTGGAAAAATTATGAAATAGAAAATGTTTTGACATAAATTTGGTAGCAAAACTTTTGATAAGGAAGAAATGTAGAACCTTACTGAACAGCTGAATTTACATTTCTATATTATTCTTAGAAGAAGAAATTTTAGCAATATATCTATACCTTAAGAAAAATCTTTCCCACATCTGATATTTTTTTTATCATCTGTCTGCCCCAGCAGAGTATAAGCATTATAATGTGGGACGGTGTCTATCCTGTTTCCGTCTGATACTCAGGACATAGAAGCCAGCCCATAATGTATGAATAAACTTTATTAAAACTGGAAAACCAATGACAGCATAACTCATCATAAAATCTGCATATGGCTTAGATTTCCTAGTTTTGTTTCTTCACCCTTCAAAAACTTCTAAACAAATCTGCACATGCTCAGTTCCAGTCACTGCCTTAGGCTGGGGAAATGAACTGCTGTCACAAATAGGCTGCAAAACAAAGTGATCCATGCATAATTTGAATTTAGTATTGCTTTTCTAACAGTCCTGATGTTTCTGAGAAGTCTCGGTATGCAGTTACCCAGGGAATGAAGCTGTTTGTACGCACACCTTCTTGAACATGGGGGCTTCCAAGGTTGCCTTGTAGCCATCGCCATTCCAGACAGCAGCAGGGAGAAAGGTGTGTGGAGGAGCATGTCTGGGTAGATTTGGTGGGGATGGGCCTGTAAATGGTGCATATAATTTTCATTCATAAGACATTCATCAGATTCAGTCACATTGCCACACCATCAGTTAGGGAGGCTGAAAAATACAGCCAGTGTATAGCCCAGAAAGAAGATGAAAGCATTGAATTTAAAACACAGATATTGGAGGGCACTTAGTAACATTTCAATTGGAAAGTCAATTCGTTATTGTAACATAAAAGGAGTTCCGTTGTTTAGAAGGGTGCCATAACTTTACCATGTCACTTTGATAATTTCACATATCTTTATATCAGTCTTGAATTTATCTCTCTTTCTCCATAAATTCTAAATAACTCAAGTTCCCACTACACATTCCTGTCTTCATAAAACCAAAATCTATTCTGCATTGTAGTATTTGTAGCTTTGTCATATATATTTCCAATATACTTTACATATAACTTCTGTTTTAGCTTCTAAAATATTTCTTACTAATTATATTTAGCTATTTGATTTGGATTGGTTGTGGCCTTGAGCTAAATATAATTGCAAAAAATATTTCTATTAATCAAATTGCAACAAAAAATAATAGATATGTAGAGGGATCTTAATTATGAGTAACAATGAGTGACTGAATTATATAAAGTTGCTCTCTCTTAGCAATTACTATTCAAAATTTAAAATATTTGCATTTAAATGTACTGCTCAGGGAGATGAGAGTACAAATGGTAGAAGATAATCTCTCTCATATTTGCATGTTTATATTCTTGACTTCACTGTTTTGGTCAGAAGCACAAATGGAAATTTGCAGCTGGTGCCAAGATAAGTGGACATCGTCTTTATTTAATCTAGAAACTATACAGTACCTGACAGTAATATGATAAGTATTCATGAATCATTGTGCTTAATAATCATACTGTGTTCCATTTAGAACTGGATTTGCAATATAAATAGAACAAACTATTATGTGAAGATCTCTGGAATGCTATCATAACACAGAATTTTGGTTGTACTTTCTGGAATTATGATATTTACATAATTTACATAATTTACACAATATTTACAGAAAGCATCATAAATGGATGTCCATCTGCAACTGTTTCACTAAAGCTGTCAGTGAGGCAAAACAGAAATATTCTTATACACTTGTCAGTTTTAATGAATGTTACCTTTATAGCAGTGGCAGCAGGAGAACTCATCATAGAAATGCTGGGCAATGGGTTCTTTGGACTGGTGAAGTGCATCACATGGGTCAAGGATGGGAAGGTTTCCTCAGCTGATTTCATCCTCAGCAGCTGGGCTATGGCCAGAGTCATTCAACTCTGGGTAACACTGGTGGATTCATTCATAATGGGGCTTACTCGACATCAGTATGATACTAGTAAACAAAAAAAGGGTCACAATTCTTTGGGCATTAAGTAATCACTTAACTCCCTGGTTTGCCACCAATTTAAGCATTTTCTACTTCCTTAAAATAGCCAATTTCTCACTTATTTTTCATCTGGCTGAAATAGAGAGTCAACAGGGTGGTTCTTGTGCTTTTTGGGGGTCTTTCTCCTTACTGTCTGTTAACCACTTACTTACTGCATGCTGCTTGCTCTTAGTGAGTTGTGGATGAATACCTACAGAGTTCATGAGAGAAATAATGACTTTGCCTTTAAATGTAAATAAAATGCCCTATCTTAAAAGTCTTCTTCTTCATAGTTTGACATATGGTATCCCCTATTTCCTGTCCCTGAGCTCTTTGCTCCTTTTTTTTCTGTCCTTGGTGAGACACACCAAGAATTTGCAGCTCAACCTGATGGGATGCAGAGATTCCAACACAGGGGCCCATAGAAGGGCCATGAAAATGCTGACAACCTGCCTCCTCCTCTTTGTTCTTTATTTCCACTCTAAAAGCAAGTTGGATCTTCATTAAGGCACAGAGATATCAGGCCATGAAGCTTGTCAGGGTGATTTCAACTCTTTCTCTCAGGCCACTCTTTCATTTTAATTTTGGGAAACAACAAGCTAAGATTTATCTCCTGGAAACTATTGTGGCATCTTAAATTCTCTGAGAAAACTCAAAACCACTAACTTTCTAGACTGAATTTGAAAGAACTTTTTTTATTTTCTGTGAAAATGCCTCAGTAGAAAACCTTGTAGTTTTCCTTTCCATTCAACATTTCTTTTCATCAGGCTTTTTTGTGTTTTCTTAAACAGCACTAAAATTTCCCTATAGTGTCCCTTTAATTAATTAAATTTCTCAAATGGATATGACATAACATTAGATGAAGGGAAATATCTCTGCTATAATAATACTTTCTGGTAACAAATATAGTTGAAAAGAAATTTTATAAAATTGTATTTTGAAATAGTGATGAATGCATACCCAATATGCAATTCAATATGATACATATATATAAAGTTACAGTCACAGAATGGAAAAATATAATACAAATTTTTCTAACTAAAGATAAATTTGAAATTAGAGTAAGAACAGGATTGTAAAATGTTAAATGTAATAATAATTTATATATTGATTTCTTTTCCTTTCAGTGTTGCTGGTCTTATTTTCCTTGCATCTTTGTATTGTTGGTTAGGTTCCACTTATAGGTGAGGGAAGGAGGGAGTGGGGGCGGGGGGAAAAGGAAGGGAAGGGGAAAGTCAAGGAACATATAGTAAGGACTCATGGACAAAACCAAAGGGGAAGAGCTGAGAGAGGGAAGGAGGGAGGGGGCAAGGGAAAGTGGTGGGGGGTAGGCAGAGACAAATGTATTTGAAAAAATAAATTAAAATTAAATTAAAAAAATAATTTATATAAATATAACAGTGTATAGTCTGTAGCTTATAATTTTAGAAAGGATCTGAAATGATGGGAATTTTTATAGTATATTCCTAGCATTATTAAGTTATAAAACAATTTTGTGCAATTGTCTGTCATTAAGTATTTAGGTGAAGATGCATATCCTAAGACCCATTAATTGTACTCCTGTTTTTTTATACTAGAGTACTTTTGGTACAAGTGCATGAGGAGATACATACACACATCTTGTAATGTACATGTTCTACTGTTCTCCTTTCAAGCAAAGTGAACAACCAGGTACAATGATCAAAATTCTGCCCATTAGGAGGGTTTTCCCTTCAGCTCTGTCTTTCTGGATGTCCCAGAAAGGGGCTCCAGTGCTACTGTAGCTGTTCTCTTTGGGATGACACCTGCATATTTTGAAGAACCAGCTGTTAACCAGGCCCAAGACTTATCTTCCTTTGTCACATATTGCAGAGAACTTGCCCTAAGGCCAATGATGGAGGCTGGAAGATAATCATGATGTCGCAAGAGTGGGCTTTATGGACTTTCAGGTCACTTTTTTATGCAGCTTACTAGTGCCGCCAAGGCATCCTTGGACCTGATCTTGTATACATTACTTCCACCTGATGACTGCACATGCCCAACATTATAGTTCAGTGGGTCAGATAGCATTCAGTTTATAATGGGCAGCTCTGGTCACATGATAACTTGGTGGCTCATGGCCAAGAGTTTTGTCTAGTAAGGCACATGAGCAGGCTAAGGACTGTTGTTCTAGCTGAAGAGGATGGGGAAGGACCTGCATTTTGATTCACCAATAGAGGCTTTCTAAAGGCTCCATACGTATTTATATGTCACAAAGACCACTGGAAAGCTCATCATCATTATTTGATATTTTACTGATGTTTATACTGAGGCAGAGTAGCTTTAAAAGAGAGTCTAAGACCAGTGATAGACAAAGTAGGAAATATGGGTTTTTCTCCATGGCAGTGCAGCTCTAAGACTGCCCTCTAAAATATAATTATAATATAAAATTATTTTATATGCCAATTATAATATAAAAACTGAAACAATAACTGACTTTAAAATTTATTAATCATAAAACATTAAGTAGTTAGAAGTCAATTAATCAGAGGAAATAAAACTGAATTTTCATATACAGAGAAGTCTAGAATCTCTAGTTTTAATTTTCCAAAGAATATTTATAACATTTCTGAACAATTTAATTAGATAATTATTTTAAATATTAAATAGACTTAAAATAGCACCATCATCAGAGACCTATCATGAGAGAGATGTTTGATATCAATAAATAATGAAATAATGAAATAAAAGGTGGATTTAAAACTAGAGGAACTCATTGCATCTCATTTTTCATTTTGCAAACCATGGGACAATAGTTCATTCTATCACTGAGATGGATGTATGTGTGCCCGCGTGTCTGCTTTTGTGTGCTTATGTGTTTATAAACAAACAATATAGTTCAAGGTTAGTTATCAGCAGCCAGCCATTAGTGAGTACTGGCCTTCTTGGGGTACTCAAGAAAACCTTGATGATTTAATAGGAAAAGTTTGAGTTCTTTCCTCAAAAATCTGACATTAAAAACAAAAAAGAAAGGGACAAATGGTGACAGAAGGAAACTGACTTTAGTTGGGAACACACAACACAATGTACAGGCGATGTAGTATAGAACTGCACACTTGAAACTTATTCAGTTTTATTAACCAATGTCCCACCAATAAATTCAATAAAATTAAAAAAATCCTTAATTATAAATATCTTATTGATGACCAAGCTCTATTGAACAATTTAGCATTCACTGTATATTCAATGTATTGGGATATTAAATTTCACTAAGGACAAAGCTGATGAACACAAATCATGGAGAGATTAAATCAAGAAAATTGCAAAGTGATGAAAGAGAATATGTCTATATTTGCATAATAGCAAATTAGAATTCAGCATTCACAACAACATCAGTTATGAAATAATTCCAGCCTACAGTAAGGACATAAAGAATTTGAATAAGAGTTAATTTGAGCTCTGTGGGGCATAACTATCTTTTTCATTAAAAAAAAAGCATAGTGCTCATTTATTAACATGCCCCGTGCTTCCCTGTTTGACATTGGGCATAGACTTTTTTAAAAACAAAAATTTTATACACATTCAAGGTCAGCTTCAAATAGAACTTAAGATCAAAATATTAAAGGAATCATGGCCAGTGATATTGGACTTTGCCTTTTTTTCTAGACATGATAAGATTATTACCAAGCACTCTTTCTATCCTGGTGATAGCAGAATGTTCTAGGAAATTTTGCCAATGTCTTCAAGCCCTGGTGAACTGCATTGATTGGGTCGAGGGTCAAAAAATCTCTTGCACTGATCAAATTCTCACTGCTCTGTCTGTTTCCAGAATTGTTTTGCTCTGGGTGATATTATTAAACTGGTATGCAACTATGTATTATCCAGCCTTCTATTGTTCAGTAGTAAGTACTTTTGCTTATATTGTCTGGATAGTAAACAACCATTTTAGTGTCTGGCTGGCTACTAGCCTCAGCATACTTTATTTGCTCAAGATAGCCAATTTCTCCAGCCTTTTCTTTCTTCACTTAAAATGGAAAGCTGAAAGAGTGGTTCTCATGATACTGTTTGGCTCTTTGGGCTTCTTGGTTTGTCATCTTGCCATTGTGAGTATAGATGATAAAATGCAGATGCATGCATGTGAAAGAAACGCCACTTGGGGGACCAACTTGAGGGACATCGTACACCTCTCAGATAATACTGCATTCACGATTGTACATGTCATACCATTTACCATGTCTGTCACAACTTTACTGCTGTTACTCTTTTCCCTGTGGAAACATCTCAAGAAGATGCAGCTCAGTGGCAAAAGATCCCGAGATGCCAGCACCAAGGTCCACGTAAGAGCCATGCAAACTGTGATCTCCTTCCCCTTGGTATTTTTTATTTACTGCCTTGTTCAAATCACCTCAAAGTGGAATTCTAATTCTCTGCTGAACAATTCAGTTGACATGTTTTGTCAGGTTCTTGGATTCCTATATTTTTCAAGCCACTCATTTATCCTGATTTGGGGGAATAAGAAGCTAAGACTGGCCCTTCTGTCATTACTGTTGCAGCTGAGGTGCTGGCTGAAAGAGAAAAAGTGAGTGGGGAATGATGTATATTCCAGAAGACAACAAATTGATGGAGTTAAACTTTGTAGTAAACACCCCATGTAATAATGTGTATAAGCTTTGATAAAGTATACTTAAAAAAACAACTTTTGCCTCAGCTTGTCACAAAAATTGAAGTGTGCAAGTTTGTGAAAAATACAAGAAAAATTATAATATGTTTTCATGTGAGCAAAGTAACTATACAAAATAGTCTAAGAAGTTTCTCATAATTTGGCAGCCATGCTTATTTCACATACATATTCTATGTTATCATATTATAATTAAATATTTATGATCTATGATTATGTATATTTAAAGACTGACAAGTCATCTCAGGAAATCATTCCTAACTTCTATTGTATTTAATACCACCCAGTGGTACAGGGATGTGTGTAATATTTTTGTCTGAACCCCCAATCTTTTGTATGGTAAAAACAATCATTCTAAACCACACATTGAGGATGGATGTTTGGGATCAATATTGTTCCATCATGAGTTCTTACTTCGCAGCTGATAACAATCTGAACTGTTAAGAAAAGAGGTACACAATGAAATTAAGGAGCAAGTAATATTTAAAATGTTTTATATGTATTTCCAATAAATAGTACTACTGATTAGAACATTTAATTTAAGCATGTGAAATCTTAGAAAAAATTTCTACAACAGGGTTGAAGGGGAAACCAAAATGATCATGGCATTTTAATGCTGCCATGCTTCCATATGCAGTTAGAAAAGTCCTTTCTTATAGTTTTTGATTACAGAAGATCTTTTTTGAATTCTGACTCTGATGTCAGTTTAATCAGTTTACCCCTAAAGTACTGTCAGGTCTCTGAATTCCCAGTCATCTTCTCCATCTTGTGATCTAAAAATTCCGTTTATACTTCACAGGAAGATTCAAATTTTCCCTATCTTAAAAATATGCTTGTTATACCAGTAGTTAATAATTATGGTACCTAAGTCAATGAACTTTCTGCATATACAAAAATCATTAGTTATGATGTCTATGTAATAATTATAAAAATGTCTTCAAGATCTGTTTTTGTTAAAATCTTGTGGAGTATGATAAAAATAGAAAGTGTGTTGCCATAGATTTGGTAGCAAGGTCTATTCTGAGAAAAAAATGTATTACCTTCTTATACCACCGTATTTATATGTCTTTATTATTTTCAGTATTAAGAAATTTTAATAAAATTATCTATACTTTAAAATAAATCACTCATCTGATTTTTTTCATATTTTTAAATCTCTTTCTGCTCCAGTAGAATATAAGCATTATAATGTGGGCTGATGTTTATCCTTCTTCATGCTGACTCCTCAGGACATAGAAGTCCCCAATGGGATAGTTCGTGAAATTATATTCTAAAGTCTAAATCAATGGATGAAAAAATTATATTAAGCCTGGAAAACCAATGAAAAGAAAACCCATCAAAAAGTCTACAGGTGGCTTATTTCTTACTTTTGTTTCTTCACCCTGCAAATGCTGCTAAACAAAACTGCACATGCTCAGTTCCAGTCCCTGCCTTAGGCTGGGGAAATGAACTGCTGTCACAAACAGGTTCCAAAACATAAAGTGACCCATACAAAATCTAAATTTAGTTTTGCTTTTCTAACAGTCCTGATGTATCTGAGGAGTCTCTGTATGCAGTTACCCAGGGAATCAGGCTGATGGCAAGTGCACCAACTTGAACATGGGGCTTCCAAGTTTGCTTTGGAGTCATCGCCATTCCAGACAGCAGTGGGGAGAACGGTGTGTGGAGAAGCAAATGCAGGGAGATTTGGTGGGGATGGGCCTGTAAGTGGAACATATAATTTTCATTTATAAGGCATTGATCAGAGTCAGTCACATTGCCACACCTGTAAGCGAAGCTGAAAAATACAGTCAGTGGATAGCCCAGAAAGAAGATGAAAACATTGAATTCAGGACAGGGATGTTAGAGTGTGCTTAGTAATATTTCAACTGAAAAGCTAACAAGCTATTTTAAAACAAAAGATATTCACTGTTTAGAAGGGTACCATTGCTCGACATGTCACTTTGATAATTTGACATGCCCTTACATTAGTCTTGAATTTGTTTCTCTTTTTCTTCATGAAGTCTAAATGATTCAGGTTCCTACTAAATATTTCAGTCTTCCTAAAACCATAATCGATTCTGCATTGTAGCATCTTCATATACATTCCCAGTATATATTGCTTATAACTTCTACAATATCTTTACTAATTATAATAATTATTTATTTTAGGACCTGGGTGCTGTCTTTGAACTAGAAACAATTGGTATAAATTATTTTTATAAGTCAAATTGCATCAACAATAACAGTTGCCATGTAGAAGGATCGTAAATGAGTAACAAATAATAACAGAATTATATAAAATTTCTTTTTCTTAGAAATTAATATTCAAAAATTAAAAAATTTGCACCTGAGGGAAATACAGTATAAAATGGTGGAATAAATCACTCTTATATTTGCATGTTCATATACTTGATTTCACGTTTTCAGTCAGTGGCACATTCGGAAATTTGCAGCTGGTGCCTAGATAAGTGGACATTACTTGCCTTTATTCTAGAAATTACATTGTAGCTGATGGTAAGTAATACAATAGATACTCACAAATGGTTGTGTTTCTTACAGAACTGTTCCATTTAGCACTTGATTTACAATATAAATAGAATGATCTATTCTTTTGTGAAGACCTCTGGAACTCTATCAAAATGTAAAATTTGGGTGGTACTTTCTGAAATTATGATGACATATTTACAGAAAGCATCCTAAATGGGTGTCCATCTGCAACTGTTTCACAGTAAAGCTGTCAGTGAGGCACATTAGAAACTTTCTTACACAGATGTCATTTGGAATGGAGGTCACCTTTCAGGCAGTGGGAGCAGGAGAGCTCATCATAGGAATGCTGGGCAATGGGTTCATTGGACTGGTGAAGTGCATCACATGGGTCAAGGATGGGAAGGTTTCCTCAGCTGATTTCATCCTCAGCAGCTGGGCTATGGCCAGAGTCATTCAACTCTGGGTAACACTGGTGGATTCACTCCTAATGGGGCTTACTTGACATCAGTATGGTTCTGGTAAACTAGCAAAAGTGGTCACTATTTGTTCAGCACCAACTAATCACCTAACTACCTGGTTTGTACCTGCCTTAAGATAGCCAACTCTCCCTTACCCGCCTCATCTGGCAGAAGGGAAGTGTAAACAGGGTGATTCTTGTGCTTTCCCTGGGGACTTTCTTCTCATTGTTAACCTCGTAATGCACAATGCTCTTAGTGAGTTCTGGATGAATACCATAGAGTTCATGAGAGAAATATGACTTTGCTTTTAGATGTAAACAAAATGTTCATCTTAAAAGTCTTCTTTTTCTTAGTTTGACCTATGTTATCCCGTTTCTCCTGTCCCCAAGCTCTTTGCTCCTTGCATTTCTGTCCTTGGTGAGACACACCAAGAATTTGCAGCTCAACCTGATGGGATGCAGGGACTCCAGCACAGGGGCCCATGGAAGAGCCATGAAAATGCTGACAACCTGCCTCCTCCTCTTCATCCTTTATTTCCACTCTAAAAGCAAGTTGGATCTTCATTAAGGCACAGAGATGCTTGCATGGTGATTTCTATTCTCTCCCTTAGGCCACTTTTTCATTTAATTTTGTGAAACAGCAAGTATTTTGGATCACGGTGATATATTGTGGCATCCCAAATTCTCTGAGAAAATAAAACCCACTCACTTTATAGACAGAATTTGAAAAAAATATCTGTATTCTATGGGTAAAGACTTCAGTAGGAAACTATGGACATTCCTTTCCAATTTCATCAGGTTCCTTCAGGTTTTCTTAAACAGCACTAAAATTTCCCTTACAGCGTGCTTTTAAGTAATGATATTTATTCAAAGTGACATGACATAATATTAGATGAAGGGAAATATTTTTGCTATAATAACATTTTCTGGTAACACATAGTACTTTATAAGAAAGTTTATAAAGCTATACTTTGAAATAGTAATAAATTATACAAATATGCAATTCAATATGAGTACATGTATATAAAATTAGAGCCACAGAACGAAAAAAATAACCCAAATTTGTCTAACTGAAGACAAATTTGAAATTAGAATAAGAAGATTGTAGAATGTTTAGTGTAATAGTAACTTATATAAGTATAAAAATGTATATATTAGTCTGAAGATTCTAATTTTACAAATGACCTGAAGTGATGGGAATTTAATAGTATATTCCTAGCATTATTAAATTATAAAAATATTTTGTACAGTTGTCTGACATTAGGTGTTTAAGGTGAAGATGCATACCCTAAAACCCACTAATTGTACTCCTATTTTTTTATACTAATTGAATTTTTGTTCTTGTGCAGAAGGATATATATGCAAAAATGTGTGTGTTCCAATGTCTTAATAGCTGAAAATGAGAAGTTATAAATGCCCATCGGTTATGCAATGGACAAATAAATTATAGCATAGATTACAATACAAAAAATGAAAATGAAAAAATTAGATCTCTAAATTTCTTATTTCCTTGATAAAAGAAAAAAGACAGACATATAAAAGTAAAGTTGTTAAAGCAAAATACATATTTAATGTAATGTTTGGATCTATTTGTGTAAATGTAGTGTTACTTTGTTGTAATAACATAATCCAGATTAACCACAGTAGTTGGGCAAGGAAACAAGCTGAGGAGAGAATTTTGCTTGCTAACGATGCTACTAAAATATGAAAGAAAGTTTATATACTGTACTTTTATACATTGGTACCTCAGTACTTGCCGTTGAGTCATTCCAACAAGTGTCAAGCAAGTGACGATTGCCAAAGCATTTTCTCTTGGGGGGTGGGTGGTGTCCTGAGTCATATAAGTTCTAGCAAGTGTGAAGAGTGGCAAGCAAGCACAGGGTGCTGGAACATTTTTTCTCATCCAAATGCTATGAGTACCAGGTGTGATGAATTTTGAAGGTGATGAGTACTGAGGTTTGATTGTATAGAAGCCATTT